AGAGTAATCAAAAACCTGAATCCCTGACCGCCAAAAAACCCACAGCTCCTCCCCAAACCCAGCTGTCAATCAAAGCTCAGATTCATAATCATTACGTACAGTGAAACCGGTGAAATGTGTAATTTAAGAGAGGAATTCTCAGGTGTTTTCTGTGAGGTAACGCACACTAAAATACTTCATATTATCGCTCAACAGTGCGGCGCGAGGATCATCGGATGCAAAGCACTTACGCTGTGAAATTTCTCATTTCACACCTCGCCGATCCGCACAGGTTTCCAGAGGTACTCACCCGAGTGACCGATACTATTAAGCCATCATTTCAACCGGTTTAACTGGAAACAAACCAGAGGGTGAAAGAGTCTTGTTTTTAAGAGAAGTGCAGTGTGGATCACTGCCTAAATACAGTCAGAGCAAAACTGTATTTCTCACATTATCAGTTTATTCGCTATATAGTTTAGAAAATGGTAATAAAATATGACAAGAACTCAGAGTTGATTTTGTCCGTCCTTCTGTTAGACTCTCACACATGAATTATGTTGAATATCTGTCAGCTGTTAAATTTAATAAACAATTAGATAATACCAGTTTAGCTCAACCAGTGACCAAGCAATGCTTCATGTTGTTCAGTCTGTGTGTAAAAAGAGCATTAGCAATTACAGAAAACACACTTCAGCAAAACATCATCAGCTCAAAGTGTCGGAGTAATATTTGCTCCCATACAGTAGTCACTGTGTGAAGAATATTTGGGTGTAATATGTCACAGTTTACTTTATTTTGCTCTCCTCACTTACATAAATGAACTATAGTGTCCTGCACACACTAGTAAAAAACAAAAACAAATTACATCTGGTGTCTGAATAATTTTTGGTTTGACTGTATGTGCAAAAAGCCGAACGCTTAATCCCTCACGTCACCCACAATCATTCAAATCAATGTAAACGCGCCGAGCTTAGAAATGATGGGCAAATGGAGATGCCAAATGGCACTAGAGGTGAAAATGCGTCGTAATTTGTGTGCAACTCTAAAGCATCAGGTGAAACCTCCCGAAAACACATTAACCATCAGGACGAGACTCCAGCGTGAGAGGCGAGCTCAAACAATCGATCGACGGCTCACAAGCAATCAGACACCATTATTTGTGAAGTTACACTCCAGTTCACATGAGCTGATAAAGGGCTGCTATTGATTCAGTGGCCATCCAGGAGAGAGCAATTTAAGCAACCGATGGGGCATAAAACAAACCCTCGCGTTCAGGAGACGCCGAAGGCCCAGGGCTGACGTTCAGGCAAACCAACATTTATTCAACATTCCTCACATTATCACAGTTTATTCACTCTAGTTTAGAAAATGGTAATAAAATATGACCAGAATCAGTTGATATTTCACTGGTTTTGTCCGTCCTTCTGTTAGACTCTCACAATTATGTTGAATATCTGTCAGCTGTTAAATTTAATAAAACAATTAGATAATACCAGTTTAGCTCAACCAGTGACCAAGCAATGCTTCATGTTGTTCAGTCTGTGTGTAAAAAGAGCATTAGCAATTACAGAAAACACACTTCAGCAAAACATGATCAGCTCAAAGTGTCTGAGTAATATTGATCCCAAATGTTACTGGTAGTCACTGTATGAATCATTTTTGGGTGTAATATGTCACAGTTTACTTTATTTTGCTCTCCTCACTTACATAAATGAACTATAGTGTCCTGCACACACTAGTAAAAAAATATCAACAATTACATCTGGTGTCTGAATAATTGTTGGTTTGACTGTATGTGTGTTGTGTGACTTTAATGGGAAATGAAGCGTGTGTAGTGTGTATGAGAGACCCCGAACGCTGCTGGAATAGCGCTAATAGATGAAGCGTGTTTGCAGAAGTGCTGCTGCTCCATTAGCTCCATTAATATTCATTACTGCCTGATCTTCAAGTCTATTTGATAAGGCATTGTTTTTGAGATAACATTAACACGCTAATGTGCATTTTGGAATGCAATTACTGCATCAAGAGGCAAGAAATCGGGGGAATGTAAGACAATAACTAGCATAGATTATAACATTTTCTGAAGAAAATGTGATTTGTTGTACATATTTCACCACTATGATGCTAAGGTGTTCTGTGTGTTCTGGATAAGTTGCTTATCATTGGCACCAAAATTGTTATGATATTCCTTAAATGTAAGTGTATAGGATATATTTGCCGTTTTACTGTTAATCAAGCAAAAGGAAAATCAAACAATTTGAGGCATCATTCATGCCTATGGCACAAATGATGAAGGGCTCTGAAAATCCCCTATAGATATGCATGATATTGTCTGACTGTACCATATTGTACTGTTATCGATACAAGTAATTCTCAAACAAAATCATTTCCGCAATACAAGTAATTCTCAAACAAAATCATTTCCGAGATACAAGTAATTCTCAAACAAAATCATTTCCGCGATACAAGTAATTCTCAAGCAAAATCATTTCCGCGATACAAGTAATTCTCAAACAAAATCATTTCCGCGATACAAGTAATTCTCAAGCAAAATCATTTTCGAGATACAAGTAATTCTCAAGCAAAATCATTTCCGAGATACAAGTAATTCTCAAGCAAAATCATTTCCGAGATACAAGTAATTCTCAAGCAAAATCATTTCCGAGATACAAGTAATTCTCAAGCAAAATCATTTCCGAGATACAAGTAATTCTCAAGCAAAATCATTTCCGAGATACAAGTAATTCTCAACCAAAATCATTTCCACAATACAAGTAATTCTCAACCAAAATCATTTCCGAGATACAAGTAATTCTCAAATAAAATCATTTCCGCAATACAAGTAATTCTCAAACAAAATCATTTCCGAGATACAAGTAATTCTCAAACAAAATCATTTCCGAGATACAAGTAATTCTCAAACAAAATCATTTCCGAGATACAAGTAATTCTCAAGCAAAATCATTTCCGAGATACAAGTAATTCTCAAACAAAATCATTTCCACAATACAAGTAATTCTCAACCAAAATCATTTCCGAGATACAAGTAATTCTCAAACAAAATCATTTCCGAGATACAAGTAATTCTCAAACAAAATCATTTCCGAGATACAAGTAATTCTCAAGCAAAATCATTTCCGAGATACAAGTAATTCTCAAACAAAATCATTTCCACAATACAAGTAATTCTCAACCAAAATCATTTCCGAGATACAAGTAATTCTCAAATAAAATCATTTCCGCAATACAAGTAATTCTCAAACAAAATCATTTCCGAGATACAAGTAATTCTCAAACAAAATCATTTCCGAGATACAAGTAATTCTCAAACAAAATCATTTCCGCGATACAAGTAATTCTCAAATAAAATCATTTCTGGGATACAAGTAATTCTCAAACCAAATCATTTCCGAGATACAAGTAATTCTCAAGCAAAATCATTTCCGAGATACAAGTAATTCTCAAACAAAATAATTTCCGCAATACAAGTAATTCTCAAACAAAATCATTTCCGAGATACAAGTAATTCTCAAACAAAATCATTTCCGCGATACAAGTAATTCTCAAACAAAATCATTTCCGCGATACAAGTAATTCTCAAACAAAATCATTTCCGCGATACAAGTAATTCTCAAGCAAAATCATTTCCGAGATACAAGTAATTCTCAAACAAAATCATTTCCGAGATACAAGTAATTCTCAAACAAAATCATTTCCGCGATACAAGTAATTCTCAAACAAAATCATTTCCGCGATACAAGTAATTCTCAAACAAAATAATTTCCGCAATACAAGTAATTCTCAAACAAAATCATTTCCGAGATACAAGTAATTCTCAAACAAAATCATTTCCGCGATACAAGTAATTCTCAAACAAAATCATTTCCGCGATACAAGTAATTCTCAAACAAAATCATTTCCGCGATACAAGTAATTCTCAAACAAAATCATTTCCGCGATACAAGTAATTCTCAAACAAAATCATTTCCACAATACAAGTAATTCTCAACCAAAATCATTTCCGAGATACAAGTAATTCTCCACCAAAATCATTTCCGCGATACAAGTAATTTTCAAACCAAATCATTTCCGCGATACAAGTAATTCTCAAGCAAAATCATTTCCGAGATACAAGTAATTCTCAAACAAAATAATTTCCGCAATACAAGTAATTCTCAAACAAAATCATTTCCGAGATACAAGTAATTCTCAAACAAAATCATTTCCGCGATACAAGTAATTCTCAAACAAAATCATTTCCGCGATACAAGTAATTCTCAAACAAAATAATTTCCGCGATACAAGTAATTCTCAAGCAAAATCATTTCCGTGATACAAGTAATTCTCAAACAAAATCATTTCCGCGATACAAGTAATTCTCAAGTAAAATCATTTCCGTGATACAAGTAATTCTCAAACAAAATCATTTCCACAATACAAGTAATTCTCAACCAAAATCATTTCCGAGATACAAGTAATTCTCAAACAAAATCATTTCCGAGATACAAGTAATTCTCAAACAAAATCATTTCCGAGATACAAGTAATTCTCAACCAAAAATACTTTTTTTACTATATAATTCTCAAACAAAATTAATTTCATGATATGAGTAATTCTAAACCAGAACCATTTCCACAATACAAATAATTCTCAACCAAAATCTTTACCATGATATATTTTTTGACCACAGTAAGAAACGAAATCACAATAGTAATTCTGCCAGACATCAGAGTCATTATTATTGAAATGAAAGACACCCTATACTTCTCAAGACTGTAATTTAAATATCTGCCAATTAACTTTGAAAATGTTAAACTCACATCAGACTCTTTGACAACCGGTTATTTTGCACTTAAGACAGCCAATTATATCTTCACTGATGCTTATTAAGAACTGTACGCTCTCACTTAGAGCGAAACTGACCATTATCTAAATCTCTTAATGACTTTTGTACACTCAGGCATGAGATCATCAGACTTCAGATCACAGAAACTGAGACAGAAGAATATGCGATCGCTGACCTTGTTGAACTCCTCCCATGAGTTGCTCCAAGTCCAGTAGTGCGCCTTGTATTGCCCGATCCGCACCGCCATCATCTGGTTTCCACGATAATAGAAGATGGGTCTGTTGGGAATAACATCTCCTTTGAAAGCGCTTAGAGACTACATCAAATTTGTTGAGTACGAGCATCTTAAAAATAAAGTTTCCAAAAGTTTTTTTTTTACAGCGATGCCATATAGAAGGTCCACTTTCTTTTTTTTGGCTTGCTTAGTTGGGGACATTTAATTTAATATTCAACAATATTATTGATCTGCCTGCATTAACACACCATTATATGAGAACTGAGCTGAGCTGGACGATGACATCACGGTTTCTCCAGAGCGGATATATATATATAAATAAATGTACTAAATTAATAACTTTTTTACAACAACAATGAACCATCACTGAACTTACTCAAGCTGGACTGTGACGCTATTTTCTTCTACACAAACTTTGTTACATTATTTTCCTGTTATATCTGTAAAGATGATTTGAAACTCTGTGTTGTAAAAAGCGCTGTATAAATAAAGGAGACTTGACTTTCAGTGAACATTTCTTAAAATATATATTTTTTCTTCTAAAGAAAATCTAAAGAAACCTTTTCCACTATAAAGAACCTTTTGTGGAATTGAAAGGTTCTATGAATGTTTACAGTTCTCCATTATGTCTTACAGCTTATGAAAACCTTTTCACGATATTCTAATTTTGAATTTGGGGTTTTCATAAGCTGTAAGCCATAATCATCAGAATTATAACAAATAAAGGCTTTAAATATCTCACTTTGCATGTAATGAGTCTATATAATATATTAGTTTCACCTTTTAAGTTGAATTACTGAAATAAATTAACTTTTGCACGATATTCAAATTTTTCGAGTTTCACCTGTATACAAATCACAGTTAGCAAAAGATGTATTAATTTAAACAATGTAATAATTAAAGGCAGAAACAATGAGCTCATTGAAGTAATGAATACTTATTTGTTAACAAATGATTATGACATTTAGAAAAAATGAATCTGCTTTGACCGAGCACCTAAAATGGATGTTTATACTACATTTAAATCAGTCTGATCAAAGTAATGTAAAGGGAATGGATGTAACGCTTGCTTTGAGGTGGTTACCTGTCGAGCAGTGAGTTGTTGAAGAGTACAGGACTCAAATCCAGACCATCAATGACACGGTCATCAGGGGGAAGAACGCCGGCCACGGAGAGACTCGTACTGAAGAGATCCATCACACTGCCCAACTGATGGCTTACCTGAGGAACAAAACGCTTTTAAAGAGTCATGTCAGAGATTATTGAACATTATCACACGGCTCTGTGGAATACTTGATTCTGATTGGTCAATAGCGCCATCCAGTGGTTTATTATTCCCAGATAACAGCCGCTGAACACAGAAACACCGGCTCATCCGGGTCACTTAAGTCATCAGCGCTATAGGCTCGCTAGGAACGGGTTTTCTCCGTTGAAGTTTCGCTTTTGGTGAACTAATAAAATATTAAAACTCAGTCGAATCAATATTTTGCGTAGAGTTATTTAATTATGCCATCCAGTATCGTGGACTCACTCTCTCTTGTTTCATACAAATGCAGCGGCGGCCATTTTGTGACTATTGTTTTGTATACTGTTGTTTTGTACACTATACGCTGGCTAGGAGCGGTTTTCTTTGTGGAAGTTTCGCTTTTGGTGAGCTAATAAAATATCAAAACTCAGTCGAAGCAATATTTTGCGTAGAGTTATTTAATTATGCCATCCAGTATCGTGGACTCGCTCACTCTTGTTTCATACAAACGCAGCAGCGGCCATTTTGTGACTATTGTTTTGTAGCCTACATTGTTGTTTTGTACACTATACGCTGGCTAGGAGCGGTTTTTCTTCGTGGAAGTTTTGCTTTTGGTGAGCTAATAAAATATTAAAACTCAGTCGAATCAATATTTTGTGTAGAGTTATTTAATTATGCCATCCAGTATCGTGGACTCGCTCACTCTTGTTTCATACAAACGGAGCGGCGGCCATTTTGTGACTATTGTTTTGTACACTGTTGTTTTGTACATTGTTTTGTACACTATATGCTGGCTAGGAGCGGTTTTCTTTGTGGAAGTTTTGCTTTTGGTGAGCTAATAAAATATCAAAACTCAGTCGAATCAATATTTTGTGTACAGTTATTTAATTAGGCCATCCAGTATCGCGGACTCGCTCTCTCTCGTTTCATACAAACGCAGCGGCGGCCATTTTGTGACTATTGTTTTGTACACTGTCGGATTATGAGATACAAACAAGTACGATCTTAAAATATCTCTTTAAATCAATCTTTTATCCCCATAATTATTTATGTGCTGAAATGCTGTGTAATAAGTGTTATGACTGTACACCGTATCTCTTAAATATCCGTTTAGATTGAACTTGCCGCTGAAACTGCTCTCTCCGCAAAGCTTTGCGTTTAAACACCAAATATTTCAACTCAGACCAATATTTCATGTCTAATTATTTACTCATGTGGCAAGTAGCCGTGTAATAAGCCTCCGCTTGGTGTCTGTGTCCGTTTATTATGAGAGAAACACCGGCTGGATGTACATTATCCCTTACATAACCAATGATTTTGTCTAGTTGGTAAATCTATCTTCTATCCCATATCATTTATGTCCTTTGAATTTAATGGAAAACTATGAGAGTGATAGTCACTTAAAAGTCCCCCTGTGGTGAAACTCCAGATTTTAATGTTGTTTAAATGTGTCTATGTGGTGTTTTTAATATGCTTTAAGACACACCATGTGTAAGTTCATAAGTCGACAGCATTGCTGAGTATTTTCTCCTTAAAACTGCAGTGAACCAAAGACAGTCTCAAAAACACGGTTTGAAATCGCTGGTGTTTCTGACGTCACAAACGACCTTGTAACCAATCAGATCAACGTGTGATCGTCAACCAGTGGATCTCTGAGCTGAGTGAGTGAGTGGAGGCGGGGCTCATTTGCATATTCATAGAACCGCAAATACTAAATGAGGCAAGGGTGTCGAGTTACATGATATTTTAAGCCATGAATAATTTATTTTCAAGGAAAAACGTTAAAATATGTCATATTGGTGATCAAAAATTAGTTTTAAGGTATACAATTATTGACTACAGGAAGACTTTAAGAATTTTGAGCAGCTCGTGAAGGCTGTGCAATTAACCGTAATTTATTTTCGATTTCGATTTTGGCTTCAAACGATTATGAAAACACGATAAAAAACATATTATTGTGCCAAATTTCATTCCTTTTCTTTTGGAATGAATTGTTTATTTCATTTCTATCTTTTTTTTCTGATGTATTTGTCCTATTGTTTGTAATTTTTCTTCTTTGTTTTTATTGTAATACTGATTGTTGACTTTTCATCAATAATTATTTGCGGACTTATGTTTATCTTACAGAATTAGCTGTTGCATCGAAATTGGTTTTACATCATAGCAACCTAATTCCCAGCAAAATATACTTGATATATATATATATATATATAGCCTAATATCTATATATATCGCTAATGTGAATTTCTTTTTTACTAGTGTGAGATTTTGGTCATCTTGCCCACTAATCGTGTTAAAGATTTGTGATTCAAATATGGACCATAATTATGATTTTTGCCATAATCAAGCAGCCCTACCTGAAGGCAAAAGTTGGCTACGAGCTGAAGGTGGACCTTTAAAAAATTACTGCACAAAATAAAAGACTTTTACTTGCTAAAAAAGTCAATCAGACAACAGAAGGCATGAGGTAGATAGAGGCCTTCGAATTTTACATATAAAATATGGGTTAATTGGATGAGCGAGCACAATTATCTATCATATCACATAATCAATAATCATAATATCAGCTGATATATGCGTCTATCACTAGTCAAGATGCTCAAAATTGTAATAAATCAACCCATGCAGCAAATCACACAGACATGCACCAATGCAAAATCATTTTCTCTATGCTTCTCAAAGCATCGACAGTTTAGAAGAGCAGCGCTTCTTCAGTCGCTCTAATCTGCGCTCGCAGGTTTATTATAACCCACACTAACATCTCTGTAAATGAAGAGAAAGGCAGAGAGAAAGAAAGGAGAGTCGGGACAGAGGCCGCAACTGCAGCTTTATCTGTCCTCCCCAGTCCTGCTGCTGCAAAAAAAAAGCTTTATTTTATTTATAAACTTTGAACTATTTTCCGATAAAATGCCATTTTTTCGCTGTCATCCTTGATCTTCCATTCTATTCTCTCCTGAACGGGCCTTTGAGGGAAACGGCACGCTCACAATCAGATAGCGCTATCAGCACTGAGCAGCTGGCACACACACACACACACACACACACACACACACACACACACACACACACACACACACACACACACACACACACACACACACACACACACACACACACACACACACACACACACACACACACACACGTCGCCTACTTCAGCCTCCCAGAATTCCCTTCACCACTGCCAGTACATTCCATTATCTTCACTCTCAGGCTTCACACACACAGACGTACATACATACATACTTATACACACAGGAAAAGGAGAAATCAAAGGGAACAATTAATAAAGGTACCTAGCCGTTACCACCAGCTGCTCGTATCCAGCAACACACACACACACACATACACACAAAACATGGGACTTGTAAAAAGGGGAAATGAAATTTCTTTATCTCCAATTCATTTCCTCTTCGTTCTCTTCTTCTCTGACGCTAGTTATCTGAGCAGACAGACCTGTCTAATGCACTCAGTGTGTGTGTGTGTGTGTGTGTGTCTGAGCGGATGAACACAACACCCCCCACACCTTTATTTTTATATTCACGACACGTCACTCCATCGGTGAAGTGAACCGTAGTTCCAATGCAGAGTCAAGGTCAAGTCTCGAATCACGTTTGTTAACAGCGTACAATATGTACGAATTTTCTATCAAAAACCACTTGCACAGTGTTGTATATTTATTTCAATTGTGCACTCACATCATCCTAAATGTTTCCAAGAATTTGTAAATTCAGAGAAATCCACAATTTTCGATAGTGCCCGTCCCTTGTCAATGACATCATACCCGCGTTATCCCTGGTTCCCGCTCGTATTGCCGTAGTAACCATGGCTACAGATGTTACAACTGCGTTACGTCTAGCGGCGCGCTCACGCTGTTGTTGTTTCGTTCAAACATTATGGATCATGGCAAGCAGACTTTGGGACAAAAGGAGAAATAAAACCAGGATCAATATCAGCGTGGTGTTTTCGAGATGCTGAGAGCTAGCGTCCGCGGCTAACTTCGACTCGACCGACGCCACTCTCGCATGAGCTTTATTAGACAGGTGAGCAAATGTACATAAAACTAATCAATGTTATATAGCTCATATGTTAGAATATGATCCGTATGTTATTCTAATGTTGATCTAGCGCACTGCTAGTCTCATACAGACCAACTAACACTGAATAACATAACTTTAACACACTCAAATGCAGTTTAGTGTGATAGTGTAGAGCAAGTGAAACAGTGCTGCGTTTCCTCACAATTTAAATTTGTTACATAAACTGACCAGTTTGAATCGTAATTCAGCACGTTAGTTCGGTAGAATGAAATGTCCTCATTCCTTTATATCCGCGGGACTCGCGTGTGGCGCTGATATCTGTCGCTCATTAGCAATCGCGCTTCACACCACAGTCATGATAAAAACATCAATGTATTCACTCATCCATAAACATTATTAGATCCACTGGCATGACGACAAGTTCCATGATTCCGCTTATTCACTGCGTCATCAACCTACGCCTTTCTTATTGTAAGAGGTTAGCGACACCTAGCGGCGAAAAGAAGCACTATATGCTACTAGACAACGACCTGAATCACAAGATCATTTAAAGAGGACCTATTATGCTTTTTTAAAATCTTTATTAAGTGTGTAATGTTGCTGTTTGAGCATGAAAAAGCTCCAGTTCTTCTCTATATCAGTGTTTCTGAACTCCTGAAACGCCTCCACTGTAGTCTTGAGGTTCTTCCGGGAACAAACACGTCACAATATTCCTCATTATAATAATTAATACGCAGAATAAAGGGGCGGGGCCTGGTTGAGTTAGTTAGTAGTGTGTTAAACTGGTGGTTATGGAAAGGGACGGGACATTTCCCAAACACACTCGAAGCGCTCGACCAATCACAACACACTGCTCCAGCCGACCAATCAGAGCACAGTGTGCTTTTCAAAAGGAGGGGCTTCATAGAGACAGGAACTAAACAGCGTTACTGACA